ACAACGACAACGACAACCAACAACAAACATTCAACAACCAACAGCCAACCGACAACCAACAACCGACAACCAGCAATCACAACAACAGCAACCACATCCACAACCACAACCACAACCACCACGACCACGACCACAACCACAACCACAACAACGACAACAACAACAACATCAGCATCAAAAGCATCAGCAACAGCAAACATGGTCACTACAAGAACCAAACGAGCTGCATAAGAACTTTTGTCGTGGACGCTGTTGTGTTAGTGGTGGCGATCTTCGTCTTCGGCCTCGCTTGCATCGTGGTCGTCTTTTGTCGGGACGTGGTCGTACTCGACAAGGTCATAGTGCAAGTTTTCGGCAGGTAGTGATGAAAGACCTTGCCTGCAGGAATACGGCTCGGGGCCACCGTCATGATTCTGATTCTTGTTGAACGAGCTTCGATTCGTGATAGCTCTTTATGAATACACAACAGGTGTATACAACGTTCGTCAAGTCCGTTCGTTCATTCTTGTGTTGTGCATCTGTTGCTTTCTCGTTAGGGAGCTCTAGCGTTTAGCAGTTTTCTGCGATAAGTACTGTATGTAGGCACCGGGAAATTATGCAATGAACGGTGTGGAACGTTACATCCACGTGTCTACGGGAATCCAGGAGTGGCTTTCTCGCTGGTGTGAGCTGCAGGCAGAGAACGGAGAGCTGGTTGAAGCACTTTGGTGTTCAGGTTTCTCAAGGCTTTTAATGCAAATGCACAGTAAGATTACTTGAACTTATAACTGCTTGTGGTGTGAAAACAGCATCTAGATGAGAGGCTTTTTCAATTCTATATTTTGGAGCTGAGCCCTTCGACCCGACACTTGCAGCATGTAGGGCTCGATTGGTTTTACTTTCTGCTCGTATGTTGTTTGAGTGAATCCGTTTCGAAGGCAAGGCTGCGAGAAGGGTTTTCGAGAGGCAGTGTGCTTCGTAAGGCATTGCCCGTCCACCCGAAACCCGTCAGTCATATCGCACGAGACGTCACGAGAATGGAAGCCTTCCCAGAAAGACCTTCGAACTTCTGGTGGCCGCTCGCAGTTGCGGCCCGCCACCACCTACATGTCTTCTCCTGCGATGCATCGCAAAATCTGTCTATGTATTAGTTGCTATGTGCAAGTAGCTGTAACTTCCGTTCTGCTGACACTGTTGTCGAATCGTTCGCAAGGAATCCAAACTTCTGGTGGTAATCCAGCTTCTCCAGGGCTCTGCGGAAGTCGAACCTAGAAATATGCATCTCAACACGAAACCTGTCAGAAAGCCCCCTCGATCTCGAGACCAGTCCCGCAAGATGCAGTCCGATTGCACACGGCATAGACGAGGAAAGCACTACTTGCAAGGCCTGTCGCCCAACTATCCCCCAACAACAGATCATCTTCGAAAGCCTCAAGTCAAACCCTAAACCCCGAAACCCCGAAACCCTAAGTCAAACCCTAAGGACCAAGCCCCGCAAACCAAAACCCCAAACCGTACGTAAGTCCAGAGCCCCAAGCCAAGCCCCGAACCTGAAGACCAGAAGCAGGTCAGCCACCCCGGGCTCCTGGTGGAACTCCGAGAGGCGACCTTTTTCTTTGTTTCACGGCTTGGAGGAAGTCAGATTTTACAATTGAGGTTGTTGTTTGGGATGTAAGACTTTAAGGGCTCATGGCTAGGTGGCAAGGGTGAGGCAGGGGTGGCGGCGGCAGCCGTTTTTCCGGGTTGCACCTTCCGAAGGTTGTGGTTCTGCTTCTCATACCGGCGGGTTGTGCCTTTTACCAGTCGGTGGCTGTTTGGAGAGTACCAGCCTCCCAACATCACGTCAAAAAGGGCTTGCTTGGAAGCAGTCGTGTCTCTGGACCCGAAGCCTTGAAGCTGAAACGCTTCCTCCGCCAGCAAAGCCCTGTCTTGAGGCGTTCTGGGACGCCCCTCTGGGATACCCCATGGCCATCCTCTGCGAGTGCGCGTGGCATTCTCGTTTCTAGGTCTGTCGAGGCCAGGGAAGACGTTGAGGGAATTCAGTGCAGGGAAGGGTCTCAAGAAGGAGTCAGCAAGCTTGCGCAAGTTTGCTGTGGGGCCGCAAGACGAAGCGCGCACGAGTGCTCCGGGTCGCGAGTTACTGGACGCTGAGCATGTAGCCGTGGTGCTAAATCATGAAGATAAGGACCAGCACCTGATGAACTGATGATTGACATTTGCAGCATGAAAGGACAAAGTCTATGCAAGAAAGAGCCACACGTATCAGAAGAGCAAGACTTTACTCATGATCCAAAGACAATCATGAGCCGGGGCATCGGAGGTTGAAGCAGTCACCGTCACGAGTCATGGCCTGGTCAAGCAAAGCTTTTCCTCCGAATACTATTGCTAGTATTATTATTGTTATTGTTGTTGTTATTCTTATTATTATGACTATTATTATATCCAATTTAATGTAATATAATATAATATGGCCCCCTCGCTCCTGCCACCCTGGACCGGCCCTCGTCATAAGAGCTTGTCATGCAACAGGTACATGCCACTGGGGTCACTGGATGATCTAATCCAGGCGTGGTCTGCTACAACATGGTCATGAGGATGGCGACGATCATCCATTCTTATATTCGGAGGGAAGAGAATCGTTATGATGCTGCTGATGACGACAAAGACGATGACGTGATCATGACATCAAGTGCCGACCATGGCGATGGGTGGTGACACTGGTGACGGTGATGGCGGTGGCGGTGGTGGTGGTGGTGGTGGTGGTGGTGGCGGTGGCGGTGGCGGCGGTGGTGGTGGTGGCGGCGGCGGCGGTGGTGTTGCGGCGAAGGCGGTCAGTGGTGGTGGCGGTGACGGTGGTGGTGGTGACCATGCCCATGACCATCATGTGGATGCGATTGTGTTGAGTGATGACGGCGATGGTGAATATTACTTAATCGATAGTTTTTCTTGGTAACCTTTGGGGCTTAAGGTGTAGGATTCTTCTATATGCAGGGGGCTGCGCGGTGCAATGCTCAAGCACATTCGTCTGCACGAGCCGCAGGATAAACGGAGCGATTCAGAGATGAGTCTGACGCGAGTATGATAATGACTCAGGACTGATAATGCTCCTGACCAGTTTACAAGTCCCAGAATGTGCTGTCAACACTGAGGATGAGAAGAACAGGCTTGATTTGCTTGCAGTACAATGGTTGCAGTTCTGGCGGTTGTGATCTGCACGTGTGTAGCAGTTCAGGCCTGTGGAGGGCTTCCAGAGTTGGCCCTGCGTGAGATCGCGCAGATGGTGCTAGAGGCAGGGGTCTATCGACAGTGAGAAGAACTATCTGAAGGCTTACTTCAGAGCTATCGAAATTAATCCTACTGCGGCTATTTATGACATTAACTAAATTTTGGTTGGCTGGAGTGCGGTGTTCTTAAGCATGTTTAGACATGTGCTTGTGCCGACGAGAAGCAGTTGTGTCTATTGCTTGCTTGCTTGCGGGCTTGCTGGCTTGCTGGCTTGCTGGCTTGCTGGCTTGCTGCGGGATTTCTTGCTGGCTTCCATACTGGCTTGAGTGGTCTTTCTGGCTTGCTTGCTTTGTTTGCTTGCTGTGTCTGCCTTCTTGCGCGCTTGGCTTGCTCCATCAGCTTACTTTGTCTCGTGCTTGGCCTACCTGCTTTGTCTGCTTGCCTTCGTGAGCGTTTGCTGGCTTGCTTGCTTCCTTGCTTTGATCTGCTTACTGGCTTGCTTGCTTGCTAGCCTGCTGGCTTGCAGCTGCAAGACTTGCTCTTGGCGCGCTCATCTCGAGCATCAGCATCCGCATCACTAGTGCGACTGCAACCAATCTTGACGGTCGATGATCAAGGCTGTGCTATGCAGCACGGCCTTCATCAGCATAATTTGTCACCAATATACTCACAACATCATCATCTTTGCAGTCACGCTGTTCTTCTTCATAATCGCCACCATCGTCGTCATCATCACCATCATCATCACCACCAGCATCACCACTACCAACATCATCAGCATCATCATCATCATCATCATCATCATCATCACAATGATCGTTGTCACTGATGTATTGTACTGTTGTTTGTAGCATGTCCTCTGCCATAGTCGCTGCAGGCTCTGGACTTGCTGCATTCCATGGTGCCCCCGGTGGTCCACGGCTGCCTCAAGCCGTCACAGGCCTTGTCAAGACAGAGCAGACAAGTTGGAGTTTCCGACGCAGTTGACGAAGTGCTGCTGCCGTAGATGCTTCTCTGGTGCAAAAGCCCTCAAGAAGCCCGAGCTTACGCTTGAGAACATCAACCGGCCCCCGCCGACAAAAGCTCCGGAGCGAAAGACTTAGGACTCAGATCGGGTCCCCAACCTACTTCCCGAGACCCGAAAGTCCGAAGGGCTTTAGCCTCTCGCCAAACCGTCGCCCCAAATCCCGAAGGTTCTCTTCACCGCTTCGGGGAGCCCACGTCTGACCTTCGGCTTGGAGCAGCGCATCAAGCACTCGCAGGTCCCTTCGGGGCAGCCGGGAGGGCGGGGCGATAGCTCTCTGCAGGTCCAGGATACAATAATATATGATACATTATATATCATATGTCATGTATCATATATAATATATCATAGATATAATATAATATAATAGGGTCGTGTGTCAAGGGCTCAGGGCATGGACTGAGACTAGCTGGTGCTGCTCACCATCGCTACGGCGATGTTGCTGGCAGTGATGGCTGTCGTTGTGGCTGGTGATGGTGGTTGTCCTAGCAGGGATTAGTTGTTGATGATGATGATGATGGTGATGATGATGACGGTGACGATGATGATGGTGGTGGTGATGATGATGATCATGATGCCGGAGGGAGGAATGCAGTCAAGACGAGGCGAACTTCCAAAGTTGTTTGGTTGGTTGGGTCGAGTTCGGGTTTGCCCACCCCGGAATTGGAGGAGTCGTGCGTGGCTTGGAGGTGGGGCTGAGCGGTGGTGCCCCAATATTAGCACAGGGTTCATTGAGAACAGAGGGCAACAGGAGGTTGTCAGGGGCTTGACAAGCCAGATTCCCAGAGCAAGGTCCTCATCCAGAGTCGTGTGCAGCCAAAGGTTGGTGGAATCCAGGAGTGATGGGAATACCTATACCGCAGCTGCTGTTGCTCGTACACGGAGAAACCCTGCATGGAGAACATGGCACTCCGCAGCATCCTAGCAGGCAGCAACCATTGGCACAGCAAATCCAAAAGCCAGCGCTTTGACTAGCTCCGATGCTGCATTTCCTGGTGAGAGAATGAGAGCATTCCAGAGCAAGGCTAGAGGGCACGATCGTTGAAGGATCACGAGCCAAGCCTTTTGAGCTGACTGCACGGTTCCTCATAGACTTGAACCTCGCAGCCCTTCGGGTAGAAATCGCCTGGGGCGGTGGCACGGCAGCTGGCGCGCTATGACAGAGGCTGTGAAGGGCCTCTTCATGGCAATCTTGAGTTCATGCATAAATCAGCGATGCCGTGACGAAGCATCGTCCATGCATCTGCATTCCGCAACAAAGTGCAGCAGACTAGCAGAACTAGCCGTCTCCGTCACTGTCGAACTGGTAATGGTGGTGCGAGTTGTGGTCGTGGTAGGTCGTCTTGGCCGTGGAAGTGCTGGCCATCTTTGTACATACAGTAGTAGCTGTGGTGGATGTAGCCGTTTAATTGCAGGGTCCTATATCGCTTTTCCAATCCCCGTGGGGCTCACCCAGCAGCTTCAACCCTAAACCCTAAACCCTAATACTTCATTGTCCTTTTCCCTTACAGACCCCTCTGCAGCCCTCAGACTTCCTCAGACCTTAGGCTTTCATCCGGGAATCTGCATATAAGCAGTCCGAAGTCTGCTCACATCGAGGGCGGCGAATTGGACAAGAAAATCTTCAAGAAGAGCGAGGTGTGGGACTGGGACCACTTCTATCAAGGGCTGAGATCGGAGCTCGGATAGAACATTGGGTTTGAGAGAGTCTTCAGGACTCTTGCCAAGACTGCCTGCCTTGTCATACTTCTCTTGGATCTCCTGGTGGAGGAAGTATGTAGCACTTTTAAATTCAAAAACCCTGAAATATTGAATTTCGAACTCAAGTTTTCGGAGGTTAAAGGACTGAATCTTCGGCTCAAGAATGCCTCCAACATTTCAAGAATTCAAGATTTGTCCTACTGAGTTCAAGAATCTGGAAATGTTAAATATTGAGTTCAAGGTTTCGCAAATTCAAAATATTTCGAAATCTAGAGCAGTTCTAACTTTTAGAAATCATGAACCCACTTTACATATTCAAGGAGGCTTACAGTGCTACCAAAAGGCTGGCCCCAAATAGACCCTCAAAGTCCTAGGCACATACCCTAATCTCCATAAGCCCTCAAGGAGCCTTTGTGTAATCCTGAGGCCCGAGACCCTGAACCTCCTTTGTTTCAACCTTGATATATGGGAGAGTTTCCGACCATAAGGGGTGCCTTAATTTTGGGGGGTCCTTCTAACAAGGATCCTACTCTGTAGGGTATTATATTAGGATCCCGGGTCCCCTATTTTCGGAAAGCCCCATATGGGTAGTTCTCTAAATTAGGGTTTTTTGGGTGCTTTTTTTTTCTAAGGGTGCCGTACTGTATTGGGGACCCAAAAAAGGGACCCTAATTTAGAAAGCTACCCGTAGATCATCTTACGGTGAAGAAGCCGTGGCTGCCAGGACAACAAGCGAGGCATCCCGGAGGCGATCTTCATCGAGAATGTGGAGGCCCGTCGTAGTGGTTGGTTCGGGGGGTTTGCGCTTCAGGGTTAGGGTCTTAGATGGTTGTAAGCTTTAGCGGTTTTTGGGCTTGGAGTTTTCTGGTTTAGGGTTTCCGGGTTTAGGTTTAGGGTTCTGGATTTATGGTTTGCAGGTTCGGGGGTGTGGAGTTTGGAGTGCACGGGGAGTTTGGTCATGTCTTCACTCTCGGCGGCTTGTCGGGTCTCACTTTACACGCTTTGGTGCGAGCAGTTGGCCCTGTCGTGCAATCCTGGAAGTAGGACCAGCAAGAGACCAAACCTGACGAGGTTGCTCGTGATGGAACCGATCATCACAACTACTTGCATATTGGCATGTATCGCACCTTTATAGAGAGAAGGTGCATCTTCAGACCCATACAGACCATGGACGCAAAACTGGCCACATTCTCCGGCAGAATATGTACTTCTTTACCCTTGTGCCACAAGGGTCGTAGAATGAAAGGCAAGAGCAATGTTGACGTTTTTTCTTACACAGGATGGTGGCGTTCATGGGACTTGCCGGTGTTTCTTTGCTTGCATTGCTGCGTATTTGCAGGTCATTGGTTTCAGGACTGTCTGTTCAAATCTTGTCGGGAAAGCAAGCCTCAAACCGTATCTCCAACTTATCGCAAGAAAATGAGGAGCACGAATCCAGACACAGTTGCTTCTCCGCGCCTACTGTCCCTTCCTCTGCAGCCCAATGCTTTGTGCTGCCACTGCTGCTGAGAACGATGCTGTGCGGGAGTACTAAATGCTACTGATGTGCGTGTGATATTTAGATAGATAGATAGATAGATAGATATATATATATATATATATGTCTGACAGTATATGTACAGAATACAGGTAAGGTTTCGGACTTCCTGTGATCGAGGAGCTTTGCAAAGACCGAGAGCCCACTCAAGTGGTGGGAAGGCTGCAGGACCTGCACAGCAAGTGGCCTGGCTGAGTGTATGATGCTCTGGTTGCAGGGTGCTTTTTGATGAAGTAGACGAAGTCACTCCAGGCCAGGCTATGCAAGAAACTTCTGTTGCTCGTGCCAGTATTCTTTGCAGCTCACGATCCAAATTTCCTTTCCCCACTCCTCCTCCTTACAAGGAGAACTGCTATTTGACTTGCCCGAGATGAAACACAGACATGTCTTTTCCCGCCTAATATCCTTGCAGTGGCTTCAGGTACCAATACATGCAAAGCTCTTTGACGGCACAGCGCTCATCTCTGAAAACCAAGCTGCCCCAAGCTCAGCAGACGCAGTACTCAGACTCCTGATGTGGTGCACTTGTTAGTCTTCGTACACCAGTATATTTCGGTTGAGCTTCCTTTTGCTGTTGCTGCGGTCATTGCTGTCACTGCTATTCTCAAGGGTCTGAAGGGCATGTGACTTATGCGGAGGCCCGATTCTCTGAAACAGAAGAAGCCCTAGACCTACAACCCAAAGCCCCTTCCTAACCTACACCGTGGATCCTAAAGCGGAAGCACTCCCCTTGGATAGGCATTGTGACTGAAGGGTACAAGAAAAATCCTAAACCCTGAACCCCTGAACCCTGAACCGTCTAAACCCTAAACCCTCTAAACCCTAAGCCCCGAAACCCTAAACCCCTAAACCCTAAAACCTAAACCCCTAAACCCTAAAACCTAAACCCCTAAACCATAAACCCTACACCCCTAAACCTTCCGAGTCCTAAACCGAGAGCCCGGGAACCGAGAGCCCAGCAGCCCTAAACCCTAAACCCTAAACCCTAAACCCTAAACCGAGGCCTGACATCAGCGCAGCCCTGGAGGCGCCTCGGGTGAGAAGCTTCCAGTATAATGACAACTATAGGGGTTTAGGGTCTTGGGGGTTTGGGGTTTAGGGTTTATGGTTTAGGGCTTATGGTTTAGGGTTTGAGGTTTAGGGTTTAGGGTTTAGGGTTCAGGGTTTAGGGGTTTGGGGTTTAGGGTTTAGGGGTCTTGGGGGTTTACGAGCTCCAGTGCTTATGCCCCCGGTGCCACATTCCATGCCCAAGAAGCCACCTCCTAATTGTCCTCATGATTTAGGATGCAGGGCTTGGTCATACTTGGATTGGAGCGATTCCGCTTGAGGGACCCTGCAAAGTCCAAAAGCCTTCAACCCGCAGGACTTTGGCCCTAATTCCCTTCCTTGTCCTGATCAGGTCGTGGAGCACCTCGTGTCAAAGAGCAGCGAGGCGCACGCAGCATTTATCGTTTCAGTACTGTTCATGTTGAGCTGCTTTGTGTCCACAACAATTGCTCGTATGTGCTAGGATGCACTGTACTTTAAGCACCATGGACATATGTACATTAGACTGGAGGTGGAAACGGTTGCATCAAGGGCGCGAAGTGTAGGCTTCGATTCGTCTCGGACAACTGTCGGAGCTCAGGTGGGCTGCTGGGTTGCGCATCTTTCTGTTCTAGCTTGAGCGGCATTGACATAGACTCGATGTTGTGCTTGCTGTTCGATGGTGAGGCAAGCGAGGACGAGCCCACGCAGTACACCTATCAGCTAGCTGAGAACATCTGGTCCAAGGCACTGCTGGAAGTTCTTGTGGCATCTCATGCAGACCCTGACAGACATCTCGAGAGTGATTTCTGCAAGCCTTCATGCAGCCCTTTTTTGTGGGTCGTCGCAGGCGGCACAGACGTGCTAGACTCGGGTTCAATTTGGATCCTACACCCCATTCAAAGCTTGTCTTGCGCTGGCATTCAGCTGCGGGCGCCTGCAGATGCCGAGTGAGCTGCTTTCTCCCTTGAAGATCCCGGAACAAGAATCCAAAAGCCGCAACACCTTGGAGCCCCAAAGCCCTAAGACAGCAAACACGAAATCGGCAAGCAAACCCAAAGCCTTACAGAACCCTAAACCCTAAATCCTAAATCCATTGAAGTGCCAGGCCTCCGCACCTCCCAGCAAGACGGTTTGCTTGTGGCTCGGTGCCAACTGCATGCTGGAATACACATTGGACGAGGCCCCGTGGCTATGGGGTTTAGGGTTTAGGGATTCGGGTTTAGGGTTTAGGGCTTTTAGGGTTTAGGGTTTTGGGTTTTGGGAAGCTCCTTGAGGCGAAGTGTCAGTAGGCTGGAAAAAGCGGTGACCTTCGCGAAGTCACAAACAAATCATAGCTGCACGCCTTGTCGAGAAGAGCACGTCTTGTCGAGAACAAAGATCCTAAGTGCTCCCCTGCCCGAGCCCTCTTTGGGTTGAAACCCTCTCAGCGTTTGCCCTAAGATCGCGCAAAGGGGCCAGGCACAGCATTCCCTTCAGCAGCAGTAGTAGTCACTAGTAGGCGCCATATTGAGGCCCGCCCTGTACACCCCTCTCGGAAATGAGATCCCCGGGCAGTTTTCGCGCAGGCCTTGGATCTCCTGAAGACGAATGAGAACAATGCCAGGCGGCGTCTCTTGAACGTGTTGGGGTTTCGGGTCCTTGGTAAGCAAAATCCAACTTGGATTTTCGGGTTGGCTAGGCACAAACACGCAGGAGCCTACGCTCCATGTCTCTGCACTGTTCAGCAAATGCTCCCCTTGTCACGGAATACTTCAAACCATCGCATAGAGACATAGAGGCAAACGTGCGTACCTGTGTTCTCCCGCTACGGAGGACGACATTGTCATCACTGGAGGAGGCTCGCCAAGAGCCGGCATGGTGATTCGCGCTCCGAATTTGCAGCAAGTCGAGCGAACGTCTCTTTACTTCGGGGGTCTCCACGGTGCGGCGCCTGCCCCCGGTTGCACTGCGAAGTAGCCTGTGGCTCACGGTCCCAATTTGCAAGTGGCCGAAGTGTACCAGCCAGCTCCAAGACTCCTTCTCATTGGCTGCTGCGGTGAAGATACTGAACATGCGATTTTATACTCCCCAGCCGATGTTCATGTTGCAGCATCCTGCCTGTGAAGCCTGCAGGACATGGCGTTCCTTCGAGATCAGATCACGACTACGGAGGCAAAGCATAACACCACACAGTAATCCAGTCTCCGTGAGTTGTGCCCCGAGATCAATCCGGACGACCTGCGCTGATGTGCTCTGATCTGTTACCTTCGCTTCTGATGTAAGTTTGAACCGCAAGGCCTTGCGTTACATTCCGCAACAACCTTTTTGCGCATTGGGTTTCCGACTCGCAAATCCCAGCCTGCAGCGCCAGACCCGAATGCGGAGATTTCTGATGTGGACAACTCTCATAACAATGACACAACCTCCATGCTGACATCCTGTGGCGCAAGACTTTATTGTGGAGCTTTCTGACGTGGGCCAATCTCAAAGCAATGAACAAGCCTCCGCTCTGGTAGGTTCATGCAGAGCTCTAATGACTCTAGTGGGGTCCTTGGATCCCAAAGCCAGGGACCTGTTAGCCCCTAGCCTGCCTGCAAAGGGGTGATTCACGTGCCGCGACCAGGTCAACATCGCTCGCACGCACAACTATGGCGTAACCTGCCTAAACCTTCCTGTTGGGGGCTACCGGTTTTTGGAGAAGCAACATGAGAGAAGTGAACGGGTCGTTGTCGTGATCATGTGAAGCTGTTCACAGGGTGGGCTTGGACAAACCATGGGCGGTGGAGAGCTTCCCTAGAGTTGTCCAATTATCTTGCACAGAGGTCTCGATTGAATTCAAGACCCACGTCCTTTGATGCATGTTCATTGGTCCTGGTGTGCTTCCCAGCCCAGCAGGCGAGGTTCTCCTTTTGAGGAACCGTAAATACTGAACCCTGTTGAGGCACTCTGAATCTTCTTGGAGAAGCCGACATCCCAAAATTCCTCATAATATACAAATATATATACATGTATATATATATAAGAAAAAATATATACATATATATATATATATATATAAGCCTAAAGCCGCAGAAAGACGGCCCGGCCAACTTCAAATGGTGTGTGCCCCGTGGGCCCAGCGCCTCTCTCAGGTGAAGCTGCGCCAGGCTGCTAAAGCCAAGGCTCGTATGGGCGTACAGGGGTCTAGATTTTCGGGCTTCAGAGATTTCAGAGGTGCCAGGACATAGCAAGTCTTATCATGACCCTCGTAGCAGTCGTAGCGGTCGAAATTCGGAACTGCAGCTGAACGGCCATGCTGACAACGCTTCATTTGTTCGTCCGTCTCTCGCTCAACCCTCAGAAGCCCGAGCAACCGTAACGGTGCAGTGTAGTAGTGGTAGCAGTGCTGTAGTAGAACCAGTAGTGCCAGTAGCAGCAGTAGCAGTAACCGTAGCAGTAGCAGCAGTGGCAGTAACAGCAGCCGAAGTAGCAGTAGCAGTAGCAGTCGCAGTCGCAGTAGTAGTCGCAGCAGCAGTAGCAGTAGCAGTAGCAGTAGCAGTAGTAGTAGCAGTCGCAGTCGCAGTCGCAGTAG